AATGGCCCACTTGTTATTGTCATCATCGAATACTCTCCTTGCCTAATGCACCAGGCTTTAATCCCTGATTAAAACCAAGGACTGGGGCTTGGGACTGGATGCTGCTTGAGCTACTCAGGATAGAAGGCACAGCAAATGTGGCTTCAAAAACCAAAAACCAGATTCTTCAGGAATTTTATAAACGTATAGCATGTATTTAGACAATAGTCAACCCTCAACTCATTCAAGTGTGCTTCTAAAGGGAAATGTGGGCTTTGCAAACTTTTTTATTGATCTCTGCCAGGGGGCCAACCTTCCTGTGGTTGTCACAGGAGGGGTGCAGTAGAAAAGTTTTGCGTCTGACAGGACCGGGAACTTCATGTCTGTTCAGACTCACCCTCCAGGCGTTATCTTTCTCCTGCTGTAATGGTCTAGAAGAACATATTGGGGCAGAAGGCTTTTCCATCAAGCGTAGGCTTCTTTTTGGGCATGAATTCACAGTGGAGTACATTGTATTTGTAGTTAAAAATGTCTTTGAGTCAAATGAAAGACGGCCGTTGGTGCCGAAGAAGGCAGATGCTGTTACAGGAGTGCTCCTCGGACAAGCAGTGCTCCTAGGGTGAGATGGGCCTAGGATGAGATGCTTTCCTTTTTAGGTTATGGAGAAGCTGCTTTCCTGGTCCAGGCTTCAGGAGCCATTCCCAGCAAAGGTCTATCTCTTGGCACTGGATGCATTTGGCAACCAATCCCTGTGTGTAACAGAATTGTACAGTTAAGTATGGGCTCGGGGGAGTCAGATACTTCCAGGGCTATCTCTTTGGGACATGTGTTGATAGAATAAAGCTGCGTGTGAATGTTAGCTGGTGGGTTGTGGCGTTTTTGGTTCCTGCATCCTGCTTTTATAGGTAAAGTATGGTTTTCATGACTCAGGCCGGTAGTCATGGTGTTTGTGTGTGAGTGGGAGTCTAGTTAGGAGAGCTGTTGGGGAGAGCATTTGGGGGTGGGGTGGGGAGAGGCACACTCACTTAATTACCTGAGTCATGGTCACTGAGCTGGAAGGCTTTGAGTTTCCTCAGATGCCAACGTACCCTGGATCTACAGAGCAAGTTCTGGCCAGCCTTCCTTTAGGCTGGGGCACAAACGTTTGCTCAAATGTGTAACAATTTCAATGGAGGTTTTATAATTTGAACCACGGAATTTGGTATTAGATGGATTAAAAATTTTCCTATGTCTTAATGAACTTTTTCTCCCCTTTATTTGTTCCAAGATGTCATTCAATGTACACTCTGGAGCCACTTTAGTGTACGTAGGGAAGCCCTGTACATTAGGAAGCACTCCAGTTTAGTCCAGCATTGAGGTCACAGATTAACATCAGGGCACTTCTCAGGGTCTAGCGGGTACAGACATCAAGGATATCCCATCTTGTTCTGAGGAGGATTCTCAACTTTTTAAAGATTTATTTTATCAAAAAAGTGTGTGTGTGTACGTGTATGTGTGTGTGTGTGTGAGAGAGAGAGAGAGAGAGAGAGAGAGAGAGGAAGGGAGGCAAGATGGAGGGAGGGACTTGGAAGAGAGGAGGGAGGGGAAACTGCTGTAAGGATGTAATATATGAGAGAAAAATAAAAATGCGTGTGTGAGAGTGTGTGTGCACGTGTGTATGTGTGCATGCGTGCACATGCATGCGTAAGTGTGTGTGTGTGCACATGTGTATGTGTGCATGCGTGCACATGCATGGTTGTGTGCATGCATGAGTGTGTGTGTGTGTGTATACAGGTGTTTGAGGGGGCCAGAAGAAGGCATTGGGTTCCCTGGAGCTAGATTATGGGTGATAGGCTGTGAGCCACCCTACATGGGTACTGGGAACTGAACTCATGTCACCTCAGTGTGCCCTAAACCACTGAACCGTCTCTCCAGCCCCCATGAGGAATTCTGATTTCCTCAGAAGATGCAGGGTTTGATGCAGTGCAAGGACTTGCCCCTCCAGGGTGCCACGGTGAATACTGTCCCCCTTTCTTCCCTCCTGACTGTCAGCGATGCCATCCTTTCTTCTTTCCCTGGGGGAGGTAGAAAGTTCTGTCACATTGCTAGTCACTCCACGATCTTTTGTTTGCAAAAATGTTCTTAGCTCAATATTACCACCATGGTTCTTATCCCAGGATGCCCTTCAAAATCTCCTGGGCAGCTTTAAAAATATTGATGCCCAGGTTGCCCCTAGACCAATGAAATAAGAATCTTTGGGGACAATACCTAGACATCAGTAATTTTAAAAGCTCCCCGGGTGATCCTAATGGGCAGCCAGGGTTGAGAGTATAGATATGAAATATGCAGTTCTGGATAAATAATGAAAACTTCAGGTTCAATTTCAAATTACAGCTTCTCTTTTCTTTCTGTAGCCTGCAGCGCTGAGCTGGAGTGGAGGGCAGGGGACAACCGTGCTTCCTGCTCACTGTCCTGTGGTTGGAGGTAGGGTGGGGGAGGGAGGGCAGGAACAGCATGGAGAGTCTAAGTTGACTGGCACTGATGCCACCTTGGAGGGTAGCCTTTTTTGCCTATGGCAGACTTAGGAACATTATTTTGTGACTGACAAATAGTAATTGTGTGTGTTTTGGATGTGTAACGTGCCGTTTTGGTTTATGTATACGTCACAGAAAGATTCAATCAATTTACTTGACTATCCGCCATGTCACCAACCCGTTTCTTATTTCGAGAACACTGGAAATCTGTCCTTGCATCAATTTCAAAACACACATTATTATTAAGTTGCGTCTTCTAGTGCAACGGATCACAGAAATGCATTACTCCTCTAGTCCAGCCACCTTTCCACTCGGGGTTCCTCTAAGACAGACTCAATGCAGTTGAGAGAATACAGTGTATGCTCTCTGTGCCTGGCTTATTTTGCTCAATGTTATGTTATCTAGGACCATCAGTGCTTTGAGGATGACAGGACTTCGTGTATGACACGGTAGAGGCCATACGGGCGTGCATTACCGTGCGCGCGCATCCCATCCTACTTAACTATTCGCCTCTTGAGGGACGTTTGGTGGCTTCCGTCTTGGCTGTTGTGGGTCATGCTTTGATGACTAGGAGAGAGCAGACATCTCTTCAGCACACGGATCCTGTTCCTTTGAATTTGTACCCAGCAGACGGCGACTCTTTCCCAAAGTGGCTGTAATAATTCACTTTGGCAGATGTTTGAAGCCAGCTCATTTTAGGGTGGGACCTAGCATTTGTGGGTTCACCAGAGATGCCTCCCTTGCCCGGGACTTTCCTCTCTGCAGCTGCCTCTGGGTTCTAACATGGTGACTTGCCCTGAGAAGCTTGGTAGGTGTCCCGGTGGCTCTCCAGGTAGCTTTCTCAGTGAAAGCCCTTTAAGGTGGTGCCAGGCTGGTCTTCAGAACTGAAGTTCACAGTTTCCCCTGAGGCTTGCCATACGGCATTGTGCACCAGGCTTTGGTGCTCTACAGATTTTAGGGGGTGTTGTGGGAAAACCTGTCTTTTTTTTTCATCAAATGACTATGGCACATGGGCGTGTTTCCAGCCCACTCCTCAGCCAGCCTTCCCTGTGTATGTGCCGTGTCACCCCATTCTCCAGATACCAAAACAGGTACCTGAAAGCCACCTTGCCTCTTAAAACTAGCTAACTGGGAGTCAGTGAGGAGCAGCCAATGCTCACCCTGCTTCAGGGATAGCAGATGGGGATCACTTCAGCTGGGTGGCCTCGCTGTCCTGCTTTGGATTGCTAAGCACCTTCTGTGCAGGAGGACAATTGTCGCGCTGAGATCTCTTATCTGAGTAGTGCTTTCTTGATTTGTGACCTGATCCTGTCCTCTGCGCTGTCTCACCCATGCGGGCCATCTCTGCCATCAGAACTGGAATCCATATTTTACCCTTAGAACTGTGCACACCTCATTACGCCACCAGTCTCTTGTACTCTATAGATTTTAGGGGACACCGAGCAGGTTCTGGTTGATCTTGAAGATCCCCCACCAGATTTGTGGCGAGGGAACTACTACCTAAGCATCAGCTGTTCCCTAACATTTGCCCCGTTTTTCAACAGTAATGGAGTGAGTTTTAGCCATAAATGTGGATAATTTCCCAGAGCAAAGACTAGTCTTACCTCCCTTGCAGCTAGGCTGTGTAACTAAATTCATGAGTCAGTGGCCTGTTGAGTGTGGATGACGTTCTAGGAAACCGTCTCTGAAGGATGAAAGCACAGTCTTCTCATTACCCTTTTTGGTTGGATGGATGCAGTAGGCTTGGATTGGAAGAGCCATCTTGGTCCCAGAGTTGGAAGCAACACGCTGAGGAGGTCCAGCGGTGAGTTGCTGGCAGCTGGGGCCTCTGAAGAGTCATACGCAGAGTGGCACTGAAAGACTCGCACGAGAGAGAAATAAACGTTCATCTTTTAAACTCCGTTGTGTACCGTAGCCTTTCTGACACTCATGACTAAGTTTCATGCTTACCCTCGCAGAGCTTCGTGCTGAGCTGCATGTGAAGCAGGAACGTCAGGGGGTTATAGGCTGCAAGAACACAGGTGCCACACACTAGAAAGATGGCGACCCTTGCTAGGTAGCAAGAATGTGACCAGATTACATCTTGGAAGACAGAACAGATGTCTGTGGAAATGCTCTTTGTTTTTTTTTTTTTTTTAAGTCAGCATGCTGGTGGTGTTAGCTACTTCCTGTTGCAAGTAGCAAAATCCCACCAGAGAGCTGACTTTAGCCAAGAGTCAACAGGTCTGTGAGTAGTTGTGGAAGGCAGTGTTAAGGGACAGGCCCTCCTGCAGCATAAACTCTCATTTGTCAGTGTCTAGCCAGAGAGCTGAGGTCTTTGCAATGTTGACGAAAGCTGTGCCTGTACTTACAATGGAAGCCGTTCTAAGAAGTGACTGACAAATGGCAGCCTAGCATCTTCCTATCTGGGTTTTCTGCCCTGGAGCTGGGGAACTGGTTCAGGACCCCCAGAACCCACATAACAGGAAGACAGGACAGTTCTCACAAGTTGTCCTTTAAACTCCACAGGTGTACTCTGGCACCCACATCCACAAAGCTAACACATCTGGAGCGCAGACCCGAGAGAAGGAGAAAGCTGGGCCTTTGGTGGTGCTGGATTAGAAACCATGGTTTCTAGACACCCTTGTCTTACATACTTCCTGCTTGGGCCATTCAGCTTGCTGTCTGTTGCCTGCCTGGCACGCCAGAGCTACGCACCATGTTCACAAACAGCGCCCGGCAGGACCTGCCCATCCTGAGCCCACCTGGTCAGAGCACTTCCTGCTGTTGAGTTCTCTGCAATCCTGACACTAACCTCCTGGGAGATGGTTTAGCCTTGACCATGCACTGCTTCATGGTAAGTAGGAGTCAGTCCCTCCAGGAGTTTAAAAGATGAATGTTTATTTCTCTCTCTCAACCCGTAAGTCCTCAGTTCAGCAGAGACTGAGATATACCTTTGAATACGACTTCCCAGAAGGCTTGTAGCTCATGGAGTGAAGAATGCGTAGCCTGTGGGTGCAGCTGTGGCACAGACCCATCTCCAGAGCGTCTTAGCAGGCCGGCACCCCCATCATCTCCAGAGCGTCTTAGCAGGCCGGCACCCCGTCTTGCTCTCCTGACTCACTCAGCTTGACTGGCTCTTGTCATCATGCTTTCGGAGGAGTAGAAAGACTTCCTGGCATCAGTCCCCGGACGGCTGCAAAGCGTGGTTCAAGGATTAACTGGGAAACTGTTAGAAATGCAGACTCTCAGGCCTGCCTCACCACCCGCCGAATTCTAAGCTGTGTTTGACTGTCTAGGCAAACTGTAAGACAAGGAAAGCTTAACAAGCCATTTTGGCTTATAACAAGTCATGCTTGCCTTTTGAGTTGTCTGTTGTGGTTTGGAAAATTATTTAAAAATGTGTTCCTTAAAGGCTCACCTCTCAGACTGTAAGCAAAGTGCAGTGACGCATTTTGACGAAAGTGTCACAACGAAACCCCTTACTTTTGTATACTAACTAAAATAAGTCTTAACAGAAAGTCCCTGGCCCCACAGTGCTGGCATCAGCAGGTATCTCGGAACGATAAAGAAATGGGGTCCATGGGAAGGTCCTAAGGTCGACTAAGCCCATCCCTCGGGAGGAGCCATGCCACGGGGTCTCTCTCTGGCTCCTGTTTTGTAATGTGTTGCTGTGATGTCATTAGGCTCTCCCTAGAGGCCACACCAGAGAGGCTACTAGAGGCTGTGCACTAAGTAGGTATCTTTATGAGGTTAGCTTGCCCCAAGCATTTCATTATAGTAACGGGTACCTCAGTAGTTACACCCTCGTTTCCTATTCCAGGTCTGAACTCTCTCTGTGATGACTGACAATGGGAACACTAGCTATTCAGTGGCTTGTGGTACGGGAAACTCCACCCCCACAGTGATGTGGCCCCACCCCCACAGTGATGTGGCCCCACCCCCACAGCGATGTGGCCCCACCCCCACAGCGATGTGGCCCCACCCCCACAGTGATGTGGCCCCACCCCCACAGCGATGTGGCTCCACCCCCACAGTGATGTGGCTCCACCCCCACAGTGATGCGGTCCCACCCCCACAGCGATGTGGCCCCACCCCCACAGCGATGCGGTCCCAAGCGCTGAAGAAGACAGTCCCCAGCATCTACCAGACTGGCCATTTAAAGGAAAAGCCCTAACTGGGCAGCACTGACACCTTACCCAGGGAGAACCTGGTCCTGCTCCCACTCCTTTTATCAGTCCATCTTCTTTTATTAGGAAAGTAATATTAAAATATTAGCATTTAAGACAAAAATGAATTTTATATAGGTTGACATTACCTCTCATCCTTGTCTACATACATATTCAATTTTTACATATTTGATTCAATATTTTATGATTCATTTTTATATCCTGCACTTTCATCGACTGTGACGTTGAGATGCACTTTCGTCCTCCCAGCCCCTCCCCTTTCTCCCGTGTCTTCCTGTCCTTTGTCTCTGGAGGCAGCTAACATTAGAGACTTAATTTCCATGGTGCGACCCTTTCTCTGTTCTCCCATAAACAACCATGAAATGTATAAATAAACAACATTCCATGTTGGGGTCAGGTTTTCTTTTCTGTCTTGACACGAATCAGGTTGTATGAAGCATTTATTTAGCTTGTTGCCTTTCCCCCTTTTGCTATCACGGAGCTCTCTCCGGGAGAGCAGGCATGGAGATGTCCTACAGTAGACACTCATTTCTCTGTGGTACCCATGCTCCCTGGTTGTCCCACTTCATCCCTGTGACGGGTCCTCAGGCCACTTCAGGTCTTTCCAGCTGTTTCCTGACCCACAGAATCTTATGCAATGTTAGTTTTATGCTTATGAGGGATGCTAGCAGGTCAAAGGATATATAGACTATAGCAATAGCAAGGTAGATGCTGTACAAATAGCTCCACACGCAAATAATGCTTCAGATAAACAAGACGAAGCAGTCCAAGTGACCGTCAAGTTCTCAGGGGTCCCTGCTCCACAGAGTCATTTAGGCGTTCAGGCTGCCTGGTGTCCGCTCCCATTAACAGGTGATTCTGGTATCATACCTGAATGAAGGCATCTGGGAACTATAGTTTAGGTGTGTCTGAATAAGGAGAACCAGTGTTTGCGAGTGATCCAGTTTTGCTACAAAAGCATTGATGAGGGTTTATGCACATGTTAGCAGGCTGCTTCTTTTGTTTTATTTACAATTTTTTTTTATTTTTCATTTTACATACCAACCCCAGCTCCCTCTCCCTCCCCCTCTCCTGCCTCTCCCTCATCCCCCCTTCCCACTTCTCAGAGGGGGCGGGGCCTTCCCTGGGGAGTCACAAAGTCTGGCACAACCACGCTGAGGCAGGACAAACCCCTCCCTATATCAAGGCTGAGCAAGGTATCCCAGCATGGGGAATGGGCTCCAAAAAGCCAGTTCATTCACCCGGCATAGATCTCGGTGGCAGGCTACTTCTGAAATGATGGCAGCAACTGGCGTTGCCTCCAGTAGAGCAGGGAAGCACCAGTGATGAAAGATGCCAGATGCATCAGTCCTTTCATTAATAAATAATGGCATTACTTCCATTTTAATTGTTCTGAATAGCAGTGCTTAAGTGTTTCCCCCTTAAGTTTAATAGTCATCTGGTTAATTCATTTCTTTTCTCTTTGCTTTACTTAATTTGTCTTTCTGGCTTTTTCCTCTGGATGAATTCATTTTTATTATCCTATTTATCTCCCCCTTCAGTTTAACTTTACTGTGTGTTTTACTTCTCTTTTTTGAGGTCAGTCTAGAATTTGAATGTTTATTTTATGCTATGAATGTTTTGCCGGAGTGTTACCTGTGTGCCGCATGTAGTAAGTGCTTTTGGGGGACAGGAGAGGGGATCTGATCCCCTGAACCTGGAGTTACCGGTAGATATGAGCCACTGGGAAGTAAACCCAGGTCCTCTGCAAGAGCAGCCACATTCTTTTTTTGTATTATTGTTATTTTTAATTCACCTATTTATTTTACATCCTGGCCACAGCTTCCTCCCCATCATCCCTTCCTATTCCCTGTCCCCCATTCTCCCCTCACCCTTCAAATCCCTTTCTCTTCTGTCTCCATCTAGGAAAGGTCAGGTCTCCTATGAGGATCTATACAACTTGGCATATTAAGTTGTAGTAAGACTGAGGGCCTCCCCATGTATTAAGACTCAGCAAGGTGACTCATTATGATGAGTAGGGCCCCAAAAGCCCAGTCAGAGTCAACCCCTGCTCCTGCTGTTAGGAGTCCCACAAGAGGACCAAGCTACACAACTGTTACACACATGAAGAGGGCCTAGGTCAGTCCCAGGCATGCTCCCTGGTTGTCTGTTCAGTCTCTGTGAGCCCCTGTGAGCCCAGGAGAGTTGATTGTGTGAGCCTTGCCATGGTGTCCTTGAGCCCTGTGGCTCCTACACTCCTTTCTCCTCCTGCTCCACAGGATCCTGAATGTCCCCCGATGTTTGGCTGGGGGTTTCTGCATTTGCCTCCATCAGTTGCGGGCCATACTCTTAATCATGGAGCTGTCTCTCCAGCCCCAGAGATTACCCTAGAATCGAAAAAACTCCAAGATGAAATAAGCGTGTAATGACTTTGCAATAATTCAGGATGAGGGAGTGGGTCTACATAAAACAAAATAAGTAAGTAGCGTTATACCTGGAGTATCTGGTTAAGGAGAACCAGCCTAAATTTATGATTATTTTGTGAGCTCGAAGTGTTTCCCTATCCCAAAGAAAAGTAGTCCCTCAGAAACACCGCAGAGAGAATCTCCGACAACTCATTGTGTGATTCCGAACCCTGTCCATTCCACTTTGCATAATGGCCCCCAAATGAGGCCTCTAGCATAAGGGGACTTCCACATTAGAAGAACATGGCGCATACTGTGGGGTGGCCTTTGAGCCTGCCGTCTCTGAGACTTAGTGCTTACAAGGACATTAGGACGTTCTGTTTTCTTTCTTTGTGCCTAAACCTTCAGGATCTTTGAAATGAGTTTTACCACAAGACCACCCTCTTGCTTTCTAGTCTTGGTCCTGAGTATTCCACCAAAGAATGAGAGGGCAAGATGGGGTCTCACAGGAACCCCCCTCCCAATAAAGATAATATTAACTGGATTAACACTAGATAAGGGACTTTAAGTCCACACAGTATTTCATGGAATTCTCTTAATGACCCTATGGGAAGGTATAATCATTATGCTGTGTTCTCAGAACAAGAGAATGGATGCTTGGAAAGTTGGCATATTTCCACAAGGTCACACAACACAAGTAATAACTAAGGCACAGGCCTAGACCAGGCTTGATCCCTGTGTCCATTGACTCTGAAATGTGAACTCCATTGTGAATGTCCTATGCTACTTGAATTTATACAGATTGAGTTAACTTCAGGTCCTTTAACTTCAGGAAGGAAGTCAGGACAGGAACTCATATACACACACACATACATACAGGGTTGGGGATATGATCAGTTGGCAGACTGCTTGCAGGAAGCTCACTTCCGTTTCTAGCGCTCAGTCAACTGGGTGTGGTGGCCACAAACACACTTCCAGGACTCAGGAGGTAGAGGCAAGAGAGCATCAAGATTGTCCTCAGCTATAAGTCAAGTTTGAGGCCAGCCCACACCACACACAGGAAAGAATGTCTCTACCACATCCAGCATGGCTTCCAGGGACTCGGGCTTGATGGTGGGGAGCGAGGGGAATGAGGAAACCGCAGACATGGACAGATACACAGACAGAAATCTGGGATCAGGTGGTCTGAATTCTCTTCTGGAGAAACTGTAGTGCCCTGGAAGCCCGGCGTGCTTGTTATGTACAGTTGAACAGAGAGGTAGAGTTTAGCATACAGCTGAACAGGAAGGCAGGGTTTATGTATGGTATACAGCTGGATCCAGGAGACAGGCTTGGCTAACCTCAGCAGCAATACTCTTTGTGGGGGGGTCATCTTCAGGCCAGAAATATTTGGGGGTGGGAGAGATAGCTATGGTGGATGTTTTCTGCACACACTGTCAACATTTACACTCTGTCCCCTGAGGAAGGCTGTACCATCCCTTTGAGTATGAGGCTACGAGGTCCTTGACATGACCTTGCCTATATCAACAGCATACATTTCTTCAGCGCTTCAGTCGCCCAAGGCATTCTCTGCCCTTCCATGTCTCAAAAACCCAAAGATCAAACTCTAAACAGTGACAGCACCCCAAATTAACAAACACACAAACAAAAACAAACAAACACTGAGTTTCAAAGACAAATTTCGCCTTGTTAAGAAAGGCTGTGATGCTGGGCCAAGCAAAGAGACTGCGGCGGTGGAGATGGCCGTCTGCAGAGGCCTGGGGAGTCGTCCCCTGATTACCTAACGACTGCATGTGACACATCTTTATTTTTTTTCCTTGGCCATGGAAGAAAGGGAAGAGACGGGATTTCTTGAGTCACAATGTTTGACTGCCAAGGCGATGACCTTGTTTTCCACGAATGTGGTTCCACTGCTGTTGGCAGAACATCAGCAGATGCTCACCTCCTGAACACACCACTCCTCTGGCACTGGGTGGAGCCCAGATGTTTCTCAAAGGGAAACAGACCAGGGCTCCAGTGTCTGATGAATTATAGTTTCATTTCCCATCAGGTTGGGTCTACATAAGTCCTGGCAAAGATATAAGCCCACCATGACGAAGGTGAAGGAAAACTTGGAAAGTAGGATCCAAGAATTGTTGAAATATAACCTATCCTAGAAGCTCCTAGAGGCCTAAATTGGAGAGCTTCGAGTTCGATCGTCATTTCAAGGGACTCAATAGACAAGAGAAGCCTCTGGATGTGACATGTCTATAGACTGTGGCTTTGGTTCTTCCACTGTGATGACAGTGAGTGGGAAGAGCCCAACTTGATGCCACTGGGAGAGGAGACAGGATAGACTTAGAAGGAATCACCTGCTCCAAAGATCAAGATAACGTGGAATCTTTGTGGCACAGCATTCCAGGTATGTGGACTGTCTTTGGATTTTCTGGTTGGAGTCAAACACCAGGGATGAGGAGAAGTATAGTATAATGGATTGTGCATTATTTAAAATTGGGGAGGGGGAGAAATGAGAGGATAGGGAAAACTAGGAGGTGGTGTCTTAGTTAGGGTTACTATTGCTGTGATAAAAACACCATAACCAAAGCAATTTGTGGAGCAAAGGCTTTATTTGGCTTACACTTCAATAGCACTATTTATTAGGAAGGAACTCAGGGCAGGAACCTGGAGGCAGGAGCTGATGCAGAGGTACTGACTTCCCATGGCTTCCTCAGTCTGCTTTGTTATAGAACCCAGGACCACCAGCCCAGGGATGGCACCACCTGCAATGGGCTGGGCCCTCCCCCATCAATCACTAATTAAGAAAATGTCCTACAGGCTTGTCTATTTCCTATTTTATGGAAGCATTTTCTAAATCAAGGCCTCCTCCTTTCTGGTGATTCTAGCTTGTGTTAAACTGACATAAAAGCAGTACAGGTGGGGAGGGAGGTTAAGATTTACAAGGAAGGGCTCATGTGAGCACATATGGCAGCACAATTAAAAATGTAACTGGAGGGAAAACAGAATACCTTTGATATGAAAGGAATGGGGGGAGATGTGGG